CTCGACCAGCGGCGAGGGGTACCGGCGCGAGTCTGCGGGCGGCATATGGGGCTCATGGCGGCAGGGCACTTCAGCAAACGGCGCGGAGAACGGGCAACGGGACGCCAACGGCCCGCTAAGCGGATATCAGCCCGCCGGGCGGGGAAGCCGGAATATGAAGGTGTTGAAGCCCCTGAAATCGGGTTCATCATCGTCTGCCAGAACTGGAGCTGCTTACGAGCCGCCACCAGCACCCAGAACCAGCGGAGAGCATCGACGCAAGAGTCAGGTTAGTGTGGCGGCAGAGAGCAACCCGCCGACCAGCGTTCGCTGGGAACCCAAGAGGTCAGTCAGCAGCACCACGGTCAACAGTACAACGGAAGCCAAGGCCCTGCGTGAGGCGAAGAATGCGGGCCCAGCTTTGCCGCGGTCGGCGAACCCTATCGGCGGTGCCTCAGCTTTCTCTTGGATGAATCCGGCTGGTAAGGCGAAGCCCACGGCTACGGCGGAGTGATCGGAGCGGAGAGAGCGCAAAGCCCCGGTGGCACTGGACGCGAAGGTGGTCGAACATGGCCAGAGCAGTAATCTTCTTTTTCTTTGCTTTTACAAGACGACTCCCTCCAGCATGAAGCGGTGAGATGGCAGGCTTCAAAACAACGCAAGCAAGGCCAACTAGTAGGTAGCCATGTAGTCTGCCATGACGTATGGCTTTCATGGCACTATGGCTAGAAAACTCCGCCCAGCGGAAACCAATAAACAAAAATCTATGAGTTCAAAGAGCGTCCAATATTTCCCCAGGTAGCCACGCCCAACCCAGATCGGCAACTAGGACGCCCACAACGTTAGCTGCATTGAGGATCTTCTTTTGGTCCACCTCTGTGGGCCAAAGCCCAGAAAGTGATATATCAGAGGTGATGCCGGCTCTGCTGATTTCCAACCTGCAGCCACCCAACCAGCCAGGAGATGATTGCTATTTCTGTACTGCAGGTACCTTGCGTTTGAATTGTTGGTTGCGGTCCGTCATGGGCAGCCCAGGGTCTCTGCGAGGTCACGTACATGAATTCTTCAATGCACCTCTCAGTCTGCAGTGTCCAGAGAGGCCCGGTCCGGCACTAACTTACCCCACTTGGATGCGCCGGTTCCCCGCACTGCTCCAAGGCCGAGTGTGACGTGCCGAGTCTCTAAGCTCCGAGTCACGGAATGACTGACCTTGGTGACCTTTTTTTTCTCCTTTGATTCTATTGATGGTCTGATTTCCTCTCCTCCCTTCCCGCGTGACATGTCGATTGCAAGAACTCTCCGGATACATCTACCTTTCACTCAATTAGCACAACCTCGACCGTCCGGACTCCTATTCCGACCCCGCTTCCTGACGACCGCGAGCATGTCTGACCCCGCGACTCGCCGCCTGCAAAGGCCGGTCATTTTGTGCGTTTGATGGCCCCCCTGAATGCTTCCACACTGTCGTTACAATACGGATGGCTTGCTAACAAACATAATGTTGTACCAGCGTCTGCGACCTCCAAGACAAGTTCCGCAACGCAATCTTCGAATTCGACAAGGTCGTAAAGACAACCTCCAAGCTCCTCCGCGCCGCAGACACACTCAAGATCCCAGTCTACACCACGACCCAGAACCGCGCCCGCCTAGGCGACACCGTCACCGAACTCGCGCCCTTCCTCCAAGAATCGGACCTCGTGCGCCCGTCCGTGGATAAGACCAAGTTCAGCATGTGGGTACCCGAGATTGCTGCGCAGTTCGAGGGGAAGGGGAAGCACGAGGTGTTGATCGTGGGCATCGAGTCGCACATCTGCGTGACGCAGACGGCGCTGGATTTGTTGGCCGAGGGACACAAGGTGTATGTGCTCGCGGACGGGGTGAGTAGCTGTAACCGCGAGGAGGTGCCGATCGCGCTGGCGAGGTTGAGGGGGGAGGGGGTCACGGTGACGACGAGCGAGAGCGTGATTTATGAGATGATGGGGGATGCGGCGCGGCCCGAGTTTAAGAGCGTTGTTGGGTTGGTCAAGGATACGGGGAAGGATACGAAAGAGGTTTTGCAGGCTTTGGCGCCCAAGATTTAGATGGGGGTTTCTTTTTTTTTTGGGTAGAAATGAGTTTTGCGTTATGGAGGTATACGTCTACAAAAGATTCCTGGCCTTTTCTATATTTACGTCCCAGATGCAAGAGAGAGAAGATCGAGAAAGAGAGAGGACTTCCCTCTCACTCAACTTCGACAGCCTTGACCTTGACCCCTCGCAACCACGTCAGATCCCCCTCGACAGTCACCCTCCTCACCTTCGCAAGTTCATCAATAAACGCCGGCACAAACGTCCCCGGACCCTGTACATCAGCCCGCACAGCAGCCCGCTCAGCCGCAATCTCAAAGTGCAGCAACCCCGCCAGCACAGCGAGCAACTTATCCTCGTCCGCCCACGCCGCCAGCATAGCCGAGACGGTCGTGCCCAACACGCACCCCGTGCCCGTGATCTGGCCCAGCAGCTCGTGCCCGTTGTCTACGGCCAGCGTGCGCTTGCCGTCTGATAGGTAATCCGTCTTGCCCGTCATGAGCACCACGTTCCTCTCCCTCCTCGCGAGGTCCCGCACCAGCTTTGCTTTCTGCGCCGGGGTCAGAGTAGACGACGAATCAACCCCCTTTTGCTGCTCCAGCGTCCCCTCACCCCACACCGTCTTAATCTCCCCCTCGTTCCCCTTGATGAGATCCAGGTACCCGCCCGCCAGGATCGTCTTGACGGCGTTCCTCCGGATCGACGTGGCGCCCGCGCCGACGGGATCGAACACCACGGGCCTGCGCGCGGCGTTGTAGGCGGACAAGGCGAGGAGGTAGTTTGCGATGCCGTCGGGGGTGACGGTGCCCATGTTCACGACGAGGCTGCCGCCTAGACGCGCGAGGTCGGGGGCTTCCTGGCCGTAGTTTGCCATGATGGGGGATGCACCGACGGCGAGGGCGACGTTTGCGGCGAAGTTTTGGACGACGAGGTTTGTCATGTTGTGGGAGAGGGGGGAGGTTGTTGCTACGCGGGTGATTACGGAGGGGATTTGGGCGAGGAGGTTGTCGACGTCGACGGGGGAGGCAGAGGCATCGGAACTGGAGCCGGAGGAGGAAGAGGTGGTGCTTCGGTACGACGGGCTCGTTTTCACGAGCTCGAGGAGGTTGCGGGAGGCGGATTCCGGGTCCTTGGCGGCGACGATGGCGCTGACGAGGGCGACGCCGTCGAGGCTTGCGGGGGATGATGCGTCGGGGTTGGCGGACTGGTAGAGGACGCGCTGGATGTTGGAGGGGTTGAGGCCGCCGATGCAGACCGTCTTTACGCGGGGGAGGTGGCCTGCAGCGGCGAGCTTGGTGAGGATTGTGCGGAGGCCTGCGGTGCCGATGATGTGTTTTGTGTTTTCTTTGCTGGGGGGGTGTGTTAGTGAGTGAGGTAGCAGGGATTTGAAGTGAGTTGGTTATGTTGACGAGACATGGAGTGCCGAACTGATAGAGTTGGAAGACTGAGAAGGGATGAGACACGTACGTTGATGTGGCAAAGACGGTGCCGATGCCTAGGTAGTCTGCTCCATCCTCACAGGCCTTGAGGGCCTCCTCGATGGTGCTGGCCGTGACACCGATGATGGCGTCCGGGCCGAGGATCTTTCTTGCGGCAGTGAGCTCTAGTTGGATGTCAACCATGCCCCTTTCTTAGATTCTATTCTCACCCCAGCAGCACAAGAGACGTATTCATGAGAAACGGGACGAGTCACCAGCTCAAGAAGAACACATTCTTGAGGTAGAAACGCAGAAAAGAAGAAGAGAGAAAGAAAGAAAGGAAATGCTCACCCATATCATCCTGCCCGATATGCACACCCTCACATCCAACAGCGAGCGCGACATCGACCCGGTCGTTGATGAGCAGCGGCACGCCCGCCTCGCGGCAGACGGCGTGCAGCTTCCTGGCATTGGCGACGAGCTCGCCCGTGTCGCTCGTCTTGTCGCGGTACTGCACGATGGTGACGCCGCCCCGGACGGCGGCCGCGACGACGGACGACAGGTCGCGGTCGCCGAGGATGGCGGGGGTGGAGTCGGTGACGAGGTAGAGGGAGTAGTCTACTGTTGGTTTCGGCATCGTGGTTGGGCTAATTCTACTTGAGTCTAGAGAAGGGAGAGTGAGGGGAGGACGGGATGAAGAGAAGGAAAGCCAGATGTCAGATTGTCGCCGGGTGAGGGAATATTGGATCGGAGGTGGGATGACTGCGTTGCTTGGATCGGCGCCGGTTTTTTCAGTGTGTAAATGCGGATACTTGCGGCCGAGGACGGAACGGCCGCTTCTCCGATGGCGCCGATGGCTGCGGGACGCGGGTTGTGGTGGGGTTGTCGGTGACGACATTAACTACCCGTTTGGCTCATCGCAGAAGAATTGGCACTCGTGATGCCACCTGGATCCAGATCAATATTAATAGGAACTCACGGGACCGTTCGATTTGTTATATACTCGCAAACATTGTGGAATCGAAATGCTCGTTTCACCGCATTAGAAGTCACAACTGTGATTACACAGTACTGATCAATACTTTCCTATGCAATCTTCTTCAGCACATCAGTATTGTGCACACTAGGTAGCTTTAGAGACTTTGGATTGAGATTTTCGCTTGTTACAAAGATAAAACTACAAGATGCATGAAATCCTGGGTGAACCTGCTAAACTCCTTATGGGAAACTCCAAAAACAAATAACCCCCTCTTTTCTTGGCCTCCAAGTAGAGGGCAGCCCGCTTGCTTGTCTCCTTTTCAGATCGGTAGTAGTAAAAGATAGTCCCTGGAAAAGACACCCTTCTCTTGATATTCCTCTGTTCGTTGGTACTGTGCCAACAAAACCCCAAGAAGGCGAGGTGAGAGCTCTCTCCTGTCCATATCATAAATCATCACATTCATATGCGTCAGTCCCGGTCGGTCCTCCGCTGGTGGTAGTGTTACACAAATTCTCTCAAAGCACCTCGTCTCCGGGCGCACAATCCGACCAACGAACGTTAGGTGGCAGTCCAATCCATGGAAGGGAACATACTCCCGACATCCCACGTCCCAGCAGCATCCTCTCCAAGCACGCCCGTCCAAAACGACGCATCCAGATCCCGAATCATGGCCTGCGTCCCGTCCGACAAGTTGGCAGGCAACTGAATCGGCTCCTGGATCGCCGGCTGCGACTTGAGACCGCACAGCTCGCCCTTGACGATATCCTTGAAATACCGCAGCATCTCCGTCAGCCTCACGAACGGATCAACCACCTTCGGGCCCGGCACATCCGTCGCTGGACCAGTCGCTTCTTCTTCCCCCCTCGCAGCAGCCGCATCCGCCGCCGCCCTCCTAAACTTCCCACTCCGATGCGCCACAAAAACCTCCAAGTGCGCGACCTGGCTCTCGACAACCCCGCCGAGGTCGAGGTGCTTCTGCACCAGCGGCAAGTCCCACCCGGGCACCTGGTCGAGCGTCATGAGCTTCAGGCACACGATGAAGACGTACAGGAAATCCGATGAGCTGAGGCAGGTGAAGCGCGGCTGCAAGCTGAGGTGGTTGCGCGGGAAGCGGATCTCGAGAAACTGTTTGGCGGCGCTGCAGCAGCCCCAGAGGAGCTCGAGGCGTTCCGTGAGGGAGATGAAGGAGGCCGGCCCCCGGGCTTCGGGGATGCCGATTTCGTAGAGGAGGACTTGCGCTATGCTGATGTGCGCGAGGAGGCCGACTGTGCTTTTTGTCAGATATCCCATCCACAAACGCATACATGTTAAAGGGGTTATCTTAACATACCATTGTCTTTGAGATGCTCCGGCAGCGACGTCTTGAAGATGTCGAGCTGCTGCTGGAAACTCTGGACGACCATGGTCAGGGGCAGCTGCAGTGACTGGAAGCTCGTGCTCTCCGTCCCGAGCGTGAGAGAAATTGTCTGCGCGAGTTGCTGAATCTTGAAGAGGTGTACCAGGAGCGCGTCGCTGGGGTACTCCGCCGCCTCCTCAATCTGTCGGCAGCAAGACTCGAGGTACGTCGTGTTCATAAAGGCGTCTGGCCGCTTATTCGTCGTGAAGACGCTTTCACCCCCCCGCGGTCAGCCCTCTCCCGTTCACATAGTCAGGCAATTACTCACAGTGTGTTGAGGTAATAACATCCAGCAAAAGCCCTCATCAGCTCCAACTGCGCCGAAATCTGCTCCGGCGTCTGCACCTTCCTCGCCTCACTCTCAGGCTTCTGGAAACTAATAGAGAGCCCCGTCCCCTTCCCGCCTCGCTCGGCCAGCTGCATGGGGCTATCCTTGAAACCCAAACTTACGCACATCGACCGCGCCAGGAACAGCAGGTTCGTGAGCTGGTAACTGTTGATGTTGTAGTGATACCATGCAATCAGGAGCTGCAGCCCCTGCAGCACGTCCAGGCTCTTTTTGGGCTTCATGAACGCCGCCTGCACGATATCCTGCAACAGCTCTTCCCCTAGCAGAACCTGCTTCGTCGCGTCCAAGTGGCACGCCGTCATCATAATGCCCTTCCATAGGAACGGCCTCTCGGCGGCCAGCTGCGTAGGGCTCATGTGAGGGGGTACAATGACAAAGGGGTACAGCGGCTGCATGTCGTCCAGAAATACTTGAAGAACTTTACTCTGCTCGTTGTTCAGCGGCCAGGGTGACTCGTTCGGTGCTGTAGACGCGGACCCCATCCCCGAGGCGCCGCCGTTGTCGGTTTGGCTGCTCCCGACCGTATGGTGATCATCCGCCGTAGACGCACTCGGCGCAGGCGACGTGTCGGACCACCCCCCCTCGCCCCCGACGACGATGACCTCCTCTGGCGGGAAAAGGTGATCGCAGTTGATCGGGATCCTAGCCGACGCCGGCGCGATGCTACCGCTAGGCGGAAGCGGCGAGTTTGCGCTCCCGACGACGGTCCCGTTGGCGACGGTCGTCGCGACCTCGCTGCTCCTCCTGCCACCAACACCAACACCGCCCTGATGCGGCTGCTGCGTCGTCGCGCTCAACTGCGTCGTCAACTCATCCAGCCTCTTCTCCAGCTCAGAGACTTTGGTAGGCTTGGGTTCCTTCTTCGCCCTGGGCGGCGCAGGGGTCTGCGAACCGCACGGCTTGCGGAGCCTGTGGCATCTGTTTCTCCCAGTCAGCGTTTCGTTCTCGCAATGCGCGCGAATACGACAGAGATAAAATACCGTTCGCATTTGTTACTTCCATCCGGGCCCGAGATACACCTCGCCTTAGCCTTGGCGCAGGTCGTACACGCTCGCGGGCCTTTGGCCCTGTGATCGGTATCCATTTTGCCGTGGTAATTGTTCTCTCTCTCTGTCTCTCCTCTCTAACTTGAACTCATAAGTGGCGAGAAAAGATGTAGTGAGCTAAAATAGAACAAGCAACGATCAAGCTAGAGTAAAGCACAAGACATGAAACACCACTCCTCTGTTAGCAGGATTTTCCAATTCGCGTCGTAATCCTTTTCTCATTTGAGTTGCCTGCCTTAATTCATGACGGATCTCCTGAGTTGCGTGTAAGTCAAGACACACACCACCCCAGTTAGCAATGACGGGGACTTAGGGGACCCCTTACCCCTTCCCCCAACCAATGAAGAAGGCTTTCTCGAACGGAGACGGAGCAATTCTGCGTTGCCGGCCTCCGTCGGAGTTGCTGAGTCAGACACTGGGCGGGCCAAGCCACGTCTTGGAAAGTCCGCTTTTGGTGTTGGCGCGCTGGACTCTGGTAATAAGATGTGGCACACGCCTCATGCTTCACCGTGGCAGTCCCATCCCGTCTCATCTCACCCCCAGCTGATGGGCGGGCGGGCACCGCGGAGACCCGTCTGGGCAAGTGCCGGGTTTACATCGGGCTGTGCTTTCCTCGCCGAGCCCGGGGACGGGGAAGACCGCATTCGCATAAATTGACTTTGCGATTCCCAAATGTCAGCCATGCATGAAGTATCCCGGCCGGCTAATTGCCTACTTCGGATGACTCTTGGCAGGGAGTAACACAAGCTTCACTATATCACGTATTGACCAAAAGAAGTAGAGGTTGATGAATAAATCTGTCAATAAATGACATTCATATTTTGTAAACTATTGGTTATTGCGACCAACACTGAGAGTCAAATCCCGTCATATAGACGAAATCATCAATCTCAAATCGAAAGAGAACAATTGTGGCCACGGGACGTGGGTCTTCATATCACACAAAAAACTTGTTGATCGCTCCAAGGAACGTGGTCTAGGCCCGATGAGCTCCCCTTTGCTTTCAGATATCAACGTCGAAATGGTTAGTGCTGGATTTTTCTCATATTGAGAAAAACCAGACAACCTCGGAGAACGTGAAATGTATCAAATGGCAGAGCTCACGGCCTGACCAGTCGTCGCCTTGGACTCACGCTCCAGCAGGGCCTCGACGAAGCCGTTGCTGATGTTTCCCGCGGCCTTGATCTCCTTCGCAGCCTGCTCGATGCCAAGCTGGTTGTCAGTCCACAGGGGCTCCTCGGGAGCGGCGTCAGCCTCTCCGACGCCAATGAAGCCGCCCTCGGCAGCCCATTCAGAAGTGCGCTTAATGCCGAGCTTGGTCCAGATCTCGTCGAGCGCCTGGACAAGCTGATCGCGGTACTCCTTCTTGTGGCCAGGGGTAGGGGTGACGCGCAGTCTCTCCTGTCCGACGGGAACCGTGGGGTAGTTGATGGACTGCACGTAGATCTGGTAGTCCTGGAGCAACATATCCGAAGCCTGCTTGGCGAGCTCGGCGTTGCCAACCAGGATGGGGATGATATGGGAGGGGTTGGGGATGACGGGGATGTCGCGGTCGTTCAGGGCCTCCTTGACCGCGCGAGTGTGGAGCTGCTGAAGGCGACGGTCGCCGTCGTAGTCCATCTGGTACTCAATGGCCGTCTTTGCGCCGGCCATCGTCGCGGGCGGGAGTGACGTGGTGAAGATGAATCCGGGGGCGAGGGAGCGGATCATGTCAACGAGCTTGGCGCTCCCGGCAATATAGCCACCAACGCATCCGTATGCCTTTCCGAGGGTACCAGTGATGATGTCAATGCGATCCATGATGCTGCCCTTGGGGCGGCCCTGCTGATGCGCTTCAAAGTCCAAGTGCTCCGCGACACCGGCGCCGTGCGGGCCGTACATGCCGACGGCATGGACTTCGTCGAGGAACGTGATGGCGCCGTACTTCTCGGCCAAGTCGCAAATCTCCTCAATGGGTCCAATCGATCCACACATGCTGTAAACGGACTCGAACGCAATCAGCTTGGGAATGTGAAGCGGCAGCGACGCCAACTTGGCCTCGAGGTCCGCAACGTCGTTGTGCTTGAAGACAATCTTCTTCGTTCCGGAATGACGAATACCCTGAATCATAGACGCATGATTCAGACTGTCTGACAGAATGACACACTCGGGCATCTTGCTACCCAGAGTCGCCAGAGTGGCATCGTTGGCCACATAGCAAGAGCTGAAGACGAGCGCGGCCTCCTTGGCGTGCAGTTTGGCAATCGTGCCCTCCAATTCGACAGCGTGCTTGTTGTGTCCAGAGATGTTTCTCGTGCCACCAGCACCGGCGCCGTACTCGTCCAGGGTCTCGTGCATCGACTTCAGAACGTGGGAATTGCGGCCCATTCCGAGGTAGTCATTGGCGCACCAGACGGTAACCTTCTCCTCCTTTCCAGCCATATGGGCACGGGGGAATTCCTTGGCGAGACGGTTGATGTTGTTGAAGTAGCGGTAAGACTTGTCCTTGTGCTTCTTCTCCAGCTCGGCGTTGTAGTAGGCCTCGTAGTTGAACTTGGCCTTAGAGGCGTCCGAATTGCCCATACCAACAGTCGAAGCAGCGCTCTGACGAGCAGCCGGGATACTGGGAGGAGCTTGAGCTACATAAACAATGGTCAGCGGGGAGGGTTCCTTTCCTTTTCTCTTCACAATAGGGTCTCCATACCTTTGTTGAGCAAAGGAGCATCAACAGCCCGGGCATCCTTGCTGCGGCTGGTGTGGATGTTGGCGCGGCCGGGCTTGGAGTTGGTGCTCAAGGCGCGGATGCCAGCAACCGAGGAAGAGCCTCCCATCTTGGCCGGGCGTCCATGGCCGTACTGGGCAGACTGGACAGTCAGAGCCTTGCCCATGACGGGGCAGCGATGGGCGAGGAGCTGCAACTTGGACATTGTTCCTCCGCAAGGAGAGACGGCCGTCGTCTGGGGCGCCGCCTGAATGGCGTGGGGACGAGCCGAGGTAGACAGCGCGCGCAGTTTGGCGGGCGAGGCCGACTTCAAGAAGGGGCACATGGCCTTGGATTGACGCAGGGCAGCCTCCATGGTTATTCTCGAAGGCTGACAGAGGTAAATCGTACGGTTTCGCTTTCGAGATTATCGTTCAAGTTTGGTTTGTTTCGGAGCAGAGAACGGTGTGCGACTCTGGTTTTGTTTGTAGATTTCGGTGTGTGGCGACTCGAAGCGCGCGCGAGACGTGGATGCGAGTGAGGTCAGCGGGTTTGCCAGAGAAAAGTGATCAGCGCTGAGGGGCTGAACACAGGTCAATGGGCAGAAAGAAGCGGTCGACTCTTGAGATCGACAATTGAGACGGGATTCCTGCTGGTAAAGGGCAGAAATAGGAGAAGAAGGGGGGAAAGACAGAGGTTAAGCAAGGTGAGGAGAAAACGGGAAGGGGAAGCGAGAAAAACGAGCAGATTCCCGGACAAGTCCTTTATTTTAGTGTCTCCGGTGAAGAGTCGCCATGACACCAAATCCCCAAGGGCGCAGTGGAAGGGTTACGGTCTGGGCAGTAGGGTAGGTACAGTGTACCTCGTGCCGACCGGCCGCCCCGCCATCTGGCTGAAGTTTGAACCCCAGCACCGCTGCACCACTGCACCACCCCAACGGCACGCCGCACCAGCGACTCGGCACAGGGTGTGGTAGGTGCGGCCCTGCGCATTTTTGGAGCCTTTGGGACTCTTGTGAGTGGTGGGCGGAATTCAGGTCAGGCCTGGGCAGCCCGCCCCGAGATCCAACCTAAACGCATCGCATGTGTTCTAGGTTCTAGGCGGTGGGTTGGGGGTGCCGCTGCACGCGATTTCTCATCCTCAACGTCCCTCAAGGCCAGATGGCAGACCTGAGAGGACTGCCAAACTTCCATCGCCGCAAGGTACTCAGGTACATCCCCATTCATTCAATGGGGCCGGGGTTGTCTTGTACGGTGTTGATGGGTGGGACCCCTAAGTCCGCAAAGTGGAGTCTCCGAATACCGAAAGTCGGCACTTGAACCAATCACTGCTCGTCCATAGCCAATTTCTGATGACACCTGATTGGCAGACCAACTCAACACCGCTGCGCAAATGCTAAAGTGACCTGAGGTCAGATCCCTTTTGTCCCTTTTTATTTAATTCTCTTGGTAATACCACCCCAGTTTCGGTGTTTGCTACTGTTTTTTTTTTCTCTTTGCTGCTCGCTTGAGTTCCGCGGAACTTATTTGCCTAAGGTACGTACGCAATACTATGTAACCAAAGATCCAACGTCTTCCTTTTCTTATGCCCACATGGCCTTTCTTCAAGACCCCTGCTCTTCTGGAAACACCGCTGTGGATCCTGCAAAATCAATCGTACGAACACTGAGCCGGTGTCTTCCGAGACCGAACTTGACAGAGCCCGTTCCGTATAGCCTACAATAGGTCATGGCTTCCGCTTCCGAAGAGCGGTATTTTTCAGAGCCAATTCCCGCCGCAGGCACAATAGTGTTGTACGAGGGCACAACAAAAGGGCACACAAGCTCGAGAGACACATGGAATCAAAGACAGGTAAGCAATGAGGCAGATTCGTGAGCTTGGCTCCTAGGTATTCTCAATGTTTCGGGGCTGCAGTTGTCGTTGCCTTAGTCACCTTGTCACATCGCCAATGTCCCGCCCATGTCTCAACTGTGCTCTGCCCCTCCTGATATTGGTGCTACCAGCGGAACATGGAGTACCTATGGAGCCAGGAGGAGCCGTTAGGGTACGTTGTCATCATTCGCCGAAGCCACTTGCAGTTATCTCAGCTTGTTCCATCCGACATCATAAATACGAGGATACAGTCAGCCACACAAGTAAAGAAGTAAGACACGGAACTTTGCGATCTCAACAAGTAGTCTGTTAACCATCACTGGTTGCATCCGCCACCACGCGTTAATGTTGAGGAGTCTGATTACCCCGAGTAAGCCTCGAGCCGAATTCCTAGGCGCACCAACTTTCGGTGTTATTGCATGCCTTTTTGACATCATATCATATGACTCTTACGCCGCCCTTGATGAGTCCTCCACGTGAAATCAGA